CCCCCCCCCCCCTCTGTAAGTTAGTATTCAATTCAACCCACCAATTTAGTAATCAATTCCAGAGATGCATCAGAACTCTTAATAACTTCTTTACAATCAAGAGACGCAGCAACAAGAGCTTCCCTAAGTGTCTTGTGTGCCAGGATATCTAGCTCATGAAGGTGTCTTTCTTCGTTTGTCTTGTTTACGATGGAACTATTGATAAGCTTGAAGGATCCCTCTGTTGGACAAAAAAACAATTACACTGTACAACTTGTAGGACAAAGTTTTGAAAAATTCTATGTCGTGAGTTTACCCTGATTGCATTCACATACCCCATAGTGCATTTCAGGCTTGGTATGTGAAGTAGCTGACTATAAAACAAGCATAAACACCTTAACTTACCTTTGAACTGCCACATGACACTGAGTGCAGCCTGACAACACCTGTGTAGTTCTTCAATCTGTCTCTTCCAGTTTTGGAGTTCATCTCTAGCTCTTTTCTCAGTCTGTTCAGCTCTTTGCTGGGTTGCTTTTTTCTCATCCCTTTCATCCTCTAATGCTGCTTCTTGTACTTGTAATGCTGCAAGCCTTTTCCTGAGCTCATCTTGTTCTGATCGATTTTTTTGTAACTTTGAGCAAAGATCATGGTCTTTTTCTTCGTATCTGTTGAGTGCAACTTCAGCTGACTTTTGCAGGGTTTCCAAACCTTTCTCTGCAAATTAGGAAATTCATACTCAACACTCCAAGCATGCAGCTGTTTGTAGAAGTTTATGAAATTGATGGTAGCTAGGGTTAGTGTGTCTGTGGGTTGGTGGTAGGGTGTCAGTAGGTTGGTGGTAGGGTGTCAGTAGGTTGGTGGTAGGGTGTCAGAAGGTTGGTGGTAGGGTGTCAGTAAGTGGATGGTAGGGTGTCAGTAGGTGGATGGTAGGGTGTTAGTAGGTGGATGATAGGGTGTCAGTAGGTTGGTGGTAGGGTGTCAGTAGGTTGGTGGTAGGGTGTCAGTAGGTTGGTGGTAGGGTGTCAGTAGGTGGATGGTAGGGTCTCAGTAGCTTGATGGTAGGGTGTCAGTAAGGTTGGTGGTAGGGTGTCAGTAGGTGGATGGTAGGGTGTCAGTAGCTTGATGGTAGGGTGTCAGTAAGTGGATGGTAGGGTGTCAGTAGGTGGATGGTAGGGTGTCAGTAGGTGGATGGTAGGGTGTTAGTAGGTTGATG